GTAGATTATATCGGTGCATGGCAATGCCTTCCGAATATATCTCCATGGGTCCTGCGTACAGTAGAAAGAGGGTACAGGCTGCAGTTCGGTTACCGCCCCCCGAAGTTCAATGGGGTGGTCTGGACTGTGGTGCACCCCGAGCAGGGTCGGGTGATGGAACAGGAAGTTCACTCCCTGTTGGTGAAGGAGGCCATAGAAAGTGTTCCTCGGCCAGACAGGGAGTCCGGGTTCTACAGCCAGTATTTCATAGTTCCCAAGAAGGATGTGGGGTTGCGTCCAATTTTAGATCTGCGGCACTTGAATCGTTCTCTGAGGAGATTCAGGTTCAAGATGCTCACTATTCCCACCATCGTGAATCAGATCAGATCCGAGGACTGGTTTGTCACGATAGATCTAAAGGATGCATACTTCCATGTTTCTATCATTCCTTCTCACAGGAAGTTCCTGAGGTTCGCTTTCGGGGGATATTGGGAGCGTCATGTCGCCGAAAGCTCGTTTCGACAGACTCATCCCCTACGGGTTGGGGCGCGGTCATGGACGGCCGCTTTGCGAGACGTCTGTGGCAGGGCCGGCATTCCTCATGGCACATAAATTGCCTGGAAATGCTAGCGGTTTACAGGGCTCTGAGGAGCTTTCTCCCAGATCTCAGTGGTCACCATGTCCTAATACGAGCAGACAACATGTCGGTGGTCTCGTATTTGAATCATCCCCCCTGATGATTCAAATATGAGACCACCGACATGTTGTCTGCTCGTGGGTTGGACCCAGTCTGAGGTCACGCCCTCTGTGCAGACTAGCGCATCAGATCCTCAGGCCTGGCTATGTGCCCAAGGTGCCATCTAATGTTGCACGGCCGGTGGTTCTTCAGGCCTTCCATCCTCCGCCTCACGTGTCGGCGGAAGAAGAGAGGCTTCATCTGCTCTGCCCTGTCAGAGCATTGAACATTTTCATTCAGAAGTCCTCTCATTGGAGGAGGTCAGAACAGTTGTTGGTGTGCTTTGGATCACCCAAGAAGGGACTTCCTGCTTCCAAGCAGACAATTAGTAATTGGATTGTTCAGGCTATTGCCTTGGCCTATCAGGTACGCGGTTTGCCTTCACCTGTGGCTTTGAGGGCCCACTCTACTAGAGGCATGGCGTCCTCTAGGGCCCTCCTGTCAGGAGTCCCATTGCAGGAGGAGTCCCGTTGCAGGAGATCTGCGATGCGGCTGGGTGGTCAACCCCGCATACTTTCATCAGGATTTATAGCGTGAACCTTCCCTCCACGCCGGGTGCACGAGTGCTCTCGTCCTAAGTTGTGCCTGGTTCAGCTTCACACTAGGACAGGCATGTTTTGGTGTGGCATAGTGGGTATCCGTTCCCCTAGTGTCGTTACCGACGCAGTGTGAGTTCCCTCGAGGGGGAACGTCTCGGGTTACGACTGTAACCCTTGTTCCCCGAGAAAGGGAACGAGACACTGCGTCTCTTTGCCACACCTCTCCTTGCCTGGGAGCGGCTTGCTTCATCGCAAAAGTTGACTCTGTTGTGTGCCGGCGTCCCCTTGTAGCTTCCGACTATGCCGTCACATGTTACGTCGTGACGCGACACCAATCAGGATTGGAATAGTTTCATTCATGCTTCAGACGCGTTATGCTGAGGGGGTTCCCCTAGTGTCGTTACCGACGCAGTGTCTCGTTCCCTTTCTCGGGGAACAAGGGTTACAGTCGTAAGCCGAGACGTTTTATTCAAAGAGAACCTGAAGTATTTTAGTCTAGTTTTGGTCAAAGAAAATCAAAAGTATTTTAGTCTAGTTTTAGTCAAAGAGAACCTGAAGTGTTTTAGTCTAGTTTTAGTCAAAGAGAACCTGAAGTATTTTAGTCTAGTTTTATTCAAAGAGAACCTGAAGTATTTTAGTCTAGTTTTGGTCAAAGAAAATCTAAAGTATTTTAGTCTAGTTTTAGTCAAAGACAACCTGAAGTATTTTAGTCTAGTTTTAGTCAAAGAAAATCTAAAGTATTTTAGTCTACTAAACTTGACATTTTAGCAATAAGATTATTATTAATTAACTGTACAGCAGTATTAATTTTGGAAGCCATTTTTAATTTAGTCTTAGTCTTACTCAAATGTACATTTTAGATATCATATTTAGTCAACCTTGTCCTGTTTTTGTTTAGTCAAGTTTAAGTCAATGAAATGTATGAGCATTTTAGTCAGGTTTTAGTCAGTGAAATCTTAGTCACATTTTCGTCATGCTGTATAATGATTAAACTGATAAAAATTATTTTTGCTCAAAATTATTGTCATAATGATTGTTGTCATTTGAGAAATTTACTTTAGCATTTCAGACATTGCACTTTCACCAGTAAGCACAAATCAATAGAATGTGGACACATACATGGTGTATTTTACCTCATCTAGTGTACTGATTTATTATAAGCTTTTTATTATATAAATTAATACCAAAGACAGTCTCTGTCTACATATTATAACAGTGAAATTCCAAGTAATTCAACTAATTCCAATAATAACCTATTTCTCTATTAAAACAACAGCGGTTGAGTAAGCGCATTTATTCAGCGATCACAATCACAAACAATGGACCCTTTTCACAAGATTGTGATGACGTGTTTAACGGTCATCAGCATCGTAAATCCTCGAAAGTTTTTCATATTTGTATTTTTTTTTAAATGTATGTACATTTATAACACTATTCTTTGTATTATATCACCTTTGCATCAAATTATAAAAAAACAGTTAATGCTAATGTGAGGGTGTTTCTAATGCAGCGTCTATGGGAGGGATGGTAAATTTGACATCGTTCTCTCTTCTGACTGCCGTTTTCAGTCTCTCTCAATTTTTTTCCTTTTATTGAAAGTCATGAAAACACTATCGTGGAGTTTATCTTTTGCTATTTGAGCAAATGGGAACGCAAAAAATATATTTGTGGTACTCTCCCATTCACTGCTCTTCAAGTTAACCCAACTATGACAACTTCCGCTGCTGAGAAACCCGGAAATGTGAAAAAGGTCCATAGGCTATAGTCGAGGTCTCATGACAGAACACAGATCAGCTGAATGATGCTTTCATTTAGATGCTAAACTCCAGCTTGTTTGTCGCTGTTTTAAGATCATCGGCGACACATGGTTGCCAGATTGCTTAAAATAAGCAAAACACCAGGCATAACATTTTGTCTCTTTTTTTTACGAAAATAAAAAGAGGTTTTTGGTAAAGTTTTTGTTTTTTTTATACATTTTAGTCTCGTCTTTTTTCACCAACGAAAGTACATGTTGATATAGTTATAGTTATCGTTTATTGACTTTATTGTCGTCTCGTCTTCGCCTCGTCTTAGTCATGGGAAAAAAACTCGTCAACGAACATTTTTCGTCATAGTTTTCGTTAACGAAATTACATGTTGATATAGTCATAGTTATAGTTTATTTACCTTATTGTCGCCTCGTCTTAGTCATGGGAAAAAAGCTCGTCAACAAATATTTTTCGTCATAGTTTTCGTTAACGAAATTAACACTAGCTGTCACACACGCTCACAGTGTACTTGTGCTGCACGATTGACCCCTGTTTCTCCTGACAGATCACCGTGCACAAGGGCGACGAGTGCGCGCTCATCAATAACTCACAGCCCTTCAGGTGGAAGGTTCTGAACCGCGGGGACCAGAATCAGGGAGCAGACGTCCTGTCCAGGCAGGGGTTGAGGCCCGGGGAATGGAGACTTCACCCAGAGGTGGTGAAGTCGATATGCGAGAGGTTCGGCCCAGTGGAAGTGGATTTGTTCGCGTCTCGAGAGACGACCCACTGTCCACTGTGGTTTTCTCTCACGCACCCAGCCCCACTGGGGTTGGACGCCATGGTACAGATGTGGCCGAGACTACGCCTGTATGCTTTTCCCTGAGTTCTGGAGAGGGTCCAGAAAGAAGGGGTCAGTCTATTGCTGGTAGCCCCGTTCTGGCCGGCCCGGGTATGGTTCTCAGACATTGTGTCACTCCTGGCAGGCCCGCTGTGGCAGATTCCTCTGTGGAATGTGTTTTCCACGTGGTGTAGAGAGCGTGGGTTGGACCCAGTTAACTGCCCGGTGGCTTCAGTGCTGGAGTTCCTCCAAGATCACTTCTCTGCTGGTCTTACCCCGTCCAAACTAAAGGTGTACGTGGCTGCCATTGCGGCTTTCCACGCTCCTTTAGGTGTTGGGCCTCTGGGGAGGCACCAGCTGGTCGTGCGTTTCCTCCGTGGTGCATGGAGGATGAGGCCTGCGACTCGTTCCAGAGTCCCAACTTGGGATCTGGCTGTGGTCCTTGAAGGGCTGTCACTTGCCCCCTTCGAGCCTCTCGAGTCAGCTACGGCAAAGAACCTGACCTTTAAGATGGTCTTTCTCCTGGCAATTACTTCGCTCAAGAGAGTGGGGGATCTCCAGGCCTTGGCTATCTCGCCGACCTGCCTGGAGTTTGCCCCTCTGTTGTAAACAGAAGCAGTTCCGGGCGGATGACGTATGAGGTCGGCCTTTTATGATTTAGCCATTTAATTGATGAAATGTATTTGCTACTGAAAGAGATCAGTGCATATATGCTGTGAAACTTAGAAGTAAATGCACTGTCTGGTTATTTCACTCTGAAAGAAAAACACGGGTTCTACAGTGAACAACATGGGATTTTAATTCAGTAACTTGATTGTTAGGTTGCAGACCGACCGAGTTATATTTAGGAAACAGGCGGTAAACAAGGAAAATTGCTTTATTGAATAACAGGACCTTCAAGGGCTCTTCTAAATGAATTAAAGAGTAGACATGATTCTGCTGTTTTAACGTCTTGAGAATAGTTTTGCAACACATTTCAGACGAGACTAGATCAAGATTATTAAGTAGGCCTATTATTGCAATTTTGTCATTGCACTAATCAGTACTTTAGGGAAAGATCTATTTTTGAATGTAAAAGTAGCTAAGAGTCCTCTTATGTTTCAGTTCAAGACGATGAAGCCAGACGAGTACCAGCTGATGCTGAGGAACCTCCAGCTGCACTATCAGGACTTCCTCAAAGACAGCCAGGACTCCAAGCTTTTCGATTCCAGTGACAACATGCAGATCGAGAGGGACTATAAGGAGACCGTACAGCATTACGACAGCCTGCTCCGCACCCTGGAGAAAGGTACAGACACGAATCCCTGACAGAGCTCACTGTGCATTACTGATGCCATGAAACACTGAAACATGAGGGTGTTGGGTAACTGTTGAATTCACTTTTCAGGAGCAGCTGTCAGAGCGCAGGGTGAGTCTTGTGCTCCTGCTGGCCTGATGAGCAGAGTTTGGTTATCATGGATGAGCTGCTCTGTAATGGAAAAACATGTAGTGTCAGCATTTGACATTGTTTGTTTCCTGTGCTTTAGCTAACAACACATCTCTACAGAGTGTGCATGTACTGAAACGCTCAACATAGTAACATAGACAAAAAACACAGCCTGGTCAAACGATCAATTTCTAAAACTGTATAGTTTTCATTTAGATGACATCCAATTGGGTAAATCCATCGAAACATGTCAGGACCATGTCCAGCCAGGGTTATTATAGTTAACTAAAACTAAAACGTACTCGGTTACTAACGTAACCTCGGTTCCCTGAGATACTGAACCGTTGGCGGATGGAGCGTCCACTCTCCTGAGGGGACATTGCTCCTTCATAACATGTCCGCTCCCCGGTTCAGTTTGCCCGGTATATGCGCTGCCTTTAGCGAGTGCAGGTTGGGTTGAGCCCACTCTAAGAAGCGCTCCACTAGCATGAAGAGGCGCTTTGAAGAGAGGCCTCCCTGGCGAGCGGGCGAGCGGTACCGATCTTGAAGGAGGTCGCCAGCGTCCGTATGGCCAGAGCTCGTTCTGGCGTGACTGCAGCTTTCATTTGAGCTGAGTCGAAGATTGTTCCCAGGAACGAGATTCGTTGGCTGGGAAGCAATGAGCTTTTGGCAAAATTGACCCTGAGTCCCAGGCACTCCAGGTGGCTGAGGAGGAGGGCTCTGTGAGATATTAGTTCTGCCTCCTTGGCGGGCTTCGTCGCCATAGGCTCTGCTGCCGCGCCATTGGTTCGTTTTTAAAGCCCTGCACGAACCAATGGCCGTGCAGTTTCACTGCGTGAATGAAATAGGCTTCAGGCTAAAAAAGGCTTTTTCCCATATGCATCTTAAGCAAGACGCAGTACGAGTGAAGTATCGAAAGGGAACCATAAAAAAGAAAGAAAAAAAAACCATTATAACTTGAAATAAAATTTAAAACTAATTTTTCATTTATTTTATTTTTTTATCAGTTTATTTTTTATTATAGTTTTTGTTAATATTTTGAGATATTATTTTTATATTTTCTGTTTTTATTTCAGTTTAAGTTAAAGTTTTTTTTTTGTTTTGTTGTGTTATTGTCATTTTTTTTTTAATATGTCAATATAGTTTTTAGCTATTTTATTAAAGTTGTCTTAGTTATTTTGGTATATCAAGTACTATATAAATATCTATATTCTCTATCTATCTATCTATCTATATGTATATATCTATATGTCTGTCTATATATACAGTATATATATATAAATATATATACATATGTATAGTATTTTGCATCATGGTAGTGCTTGTTGTACTTTATTTTATTTAAATAAAAAAAATGAATGCAGTAAAACATATTTTACTGGTATGAGCTGTAAGAGTTCTCAAAATATGCCTCATTTTCTTTATGCACATTTAATTACATTTTTTTTTTCTTTTGATTTTGGGATGAAATCTGAGCCACTAACACAGATGGAATGTGTGTGATGTGACTAAGTGTCATGAATGTTGGCTGCAGCAGACTGATAAATGAAGAGATAAACTGTTGTTTGCCTTTAGTGTTGACAGAAAACCGTAATAACAAATCTTTTCTCTTCGCAGGCGAGCAGGATGAATCCATGTGCAAGTCGTACATCACCCAAATCAAAAACCTGCGCCTGCAGATCGAAGACTGTGAGTCTCGTACGGTGGCCCGTATCCGGCGACCAGTGGATAAAGATCCACTCAGAGACTGCATGCAGAAGACTGCTGATCAGAGAGTACGACACAAAGCTCTTGTTCTTTATATTTGATCCAGTTAAAACTCTTTTGCAACTGAAGTATGTGTATACAAATTCAAATCATATTTGTGACTCATAAATGGGTGAATTTCAACAAACATGTCCAAAATCGCAATTTATGACCATTATGATTTTTTGCTTTGTGATTTTATTTTTGTGACATTTAAGCACATTTCCCTGAGATGTTCTTTTTATTGTAATGGATCAATTTCCTTATTTTGTGTTTCTCATTGTGATTTATTGTGATAGTCATTAAATGCTTATTACTGTATTACAAACTAAATTAAAGACAGAAAAACAAATACTAAAACAATTTGAGATATAAATGAATCTGAGTGGTGAGATTTTAACCCATCATGGTGTTAAAATTTGTGCTTAATTGTCCTGAAAATAATGTAAAAAAAAAAAAATCAGAAAAATATCCAAGATATAATGTGTTATTTTAGTGTTTTTGAAATACTATTATAGTTTGTATTAATATTTTGAATAAATTTGTACTTTTCAATTTTCATTTTAATTATAGTTAAAATTGTAGTAATTTTGTTGTGTTTTTGTCACTGTATAGAGAGAGAGATTTTAGACATTTTTATTTCAGTTTTAGTTATTTTTGTAAAACTAAAAAATGAAAGATGTTGCTTGAAAATAAGGGAAACATAATTTTTTTTATATTTAATTTTATCAGTTAACGTTTATTGTATTTCAAGCAACAATTTTATTTTGAATGGTTCTGAGTTTCAGTTTTAATTAACTGTACACTGAATATAATTTCTAATTTTTTTCTTTTGATTATTATGTGAATTATGACTCAGACCATGTTCTTTGTCATATTTAACCAAATTAATCATTGTGTTTTTGTCTCTGGCTCAAACAGAAAGTGCAAATGGAGCTGGAAGGAATTAAGAAGAACCTGGACCGAGTGTCTCAGAAAGCTGAGGAGGTGCTGTCCTCTCCGGAGCAGTCCAGCACTCCAGTCCTGCGATCAGAGCTGGACATCACCCTGCAGAAGATGGACCAAACCTACAACCTGTCCTCAGTCTACCTGGAGAAGTAAGCAGCGCTCTCACCTGTGTAGTATTTGTGACCATGGACCACAAAACCAGTCATATTCACAGTCAAATTGAGATGTATACATCATCTCAAAGCTGAATAAATAAGCTTTCTATTGACGTACGGTTTGTTAGGATAGGATAATATTTGGCAGAGATACAACTATTTGAGAATCTGGAATCTGAGGGTGCAAAAAAATCTAAATATTGAGAAAATCATCTTTAAAGTTGTCCAAATGAAGTTCTTAGCAATGCATATTACTAATCAAAAATTAAGTTTTGATATATTTACGGTAGGAAATTTACTAAATATCTTCATGGAACATGATCTTTACTTAATATCCTAATGATTTTTGGCATAAAAGAAAAATCGATAATTTTGACCCATACAATGTATTATTTGGCTATTGCTACAAATATATCCCAGCGACTTAAGACTGCTTTTGTGCTCCAGGGCCACATATGTCTTTGCACTACTGCTGCTTGATGTTCAAGTTTTGTCTCTTATTCGTTTGTTTGTATTATTATGTACTAATAATCTTAAGCATAAGATTAGATAAAGGCAATTCTTTTTTTCTGTAGATTAAAGACAATAGAAGTTGTGATCCGGAACACACAAGGGACAGAAGATGTGGTGAAGAAATATGAGAATCGCCTGCGTGAGGTTCACACGGTCCCTACAAACGTCCAGGAGGTGGAGAACTACGGCTCTGAGCTCAAGGTAATATTCACTGTTCACTTACTGGTTGATGCTTTGTTTTGTGTAACACTAGGTGACTCTTGTAGCATTTTGTAACATGTACAAGGATGTAGGTCAGTGGTTCTCATCCTTATTGACTCTAAGGCCCTCCTTTGTTTCCAACAATGTTCCTGAGATTTCTAGGTAAATTCAGATTTAGGATTTCAGAAGTTTTAAGCGCTGAATGTTCTTTAAGGATCCTGATATTTTTAACCAATTAATTTATATTATGTTTCCAGTTGTTTGTGGTTGACTGGACAAGGATTAAGGGTAGGGATTTAAAAAAAAAAATGTGTATTCACAATTTATCTTAAATAAAATATTTTAGAACTTGGCATAAATACAAAAATTTATATTCTTTATAAAAATGTCCATGGAGATGGGTGAATTTTCCAGCTTTAGAAATAATTTTACACTTTTAAAATAAGGCTTCCTCATATTTCCCAATTTTACAATTATTGAGGGGAGTGAATTAAAAATAAAAATATTCTCAATTTTGTTTTAGCATATTTTAATGCTTGTTTTGTATTATTTTAAATCAAGAAAGTCTTCAAGTTAGAGCCCTGCATTTCAGCCCGGGCCCGACGGACCCCGACTTTTTTATGCTTCTTCGGCCCAATTTTCACGTCATAGTTCAGACGCGGGCATCAGGCCTGTTTTAGGCTTCTCCTTATTTTTATATTTTAGACATCCATCAATTATAGTGATGAAAAAAATTGGATACTGGTTGAAACAACACGAGACCGTGCTACTCGACGGTGTTTAGTGTTTAGTGTCCAGCAGAGCGAGCGTGCCATCAGCACAGCTGAAGAGTTCTGCGTTCAAATGCACGCAACAGTCTAAAGCTTGCCGCAAAGCACCAGCAAAAGTAATTACCATGAATTATTTATTAATAAACTAGTGTTTTCTGAGTCAGTGTCGCAAGGGTGAAGTTGCCGATCCTGACTCGCCATCTCCTCACTGGACGCGACTTTAGAGAGAAATGCATCTTTACGAAAGAGTTTTTGTTTTCAATTTGTTTTATTTCGTTAAGCAGTAATTTAAAGCTTTCTATAGATATATTTATCATGTCTGTGAGGCATGTATTTGCTGAGTTTCGGTTCATTTTTGTAAAGTGCTCCTGTTTAAGACCGAGACGGCAGAAAGCGCATCCTGTTTGTTTTCTTTATTTTATAAAAGCACAACGTTTTGTTGATATTGTGAGTGCACACAAATAAAAGTAGTTTACAGTTCCGAATGATGTATTACGCTACTCTACCTTTATGAGGAAAAAGGACGGCATATTTTAAGTTGTTTCCACTGAAAAAATGCAAGTGATCGCGCTGGCGCCTCCATGTCCTGCAAAGCGCGCTTTAGCTTCCACTCTCCGCAAATACGATTTGATATGCGCCTCATAGTGCATTTATCTAGGTTTAACATTTAAACTAACGTTGTTATATGCTATTTAACTGTTTTATATCTATAGATTTTATTTTAGGCAAGTTGTGATGATTTGAGAAGGCAAAATTGATCAAACAGGCTATGATCAACTCACTGTCTGCCGCTGGCCGCTTGGTCGTTACTTTAAAAAACAAAAACTTATATTTAACGAACAAAAAATGCTCTAAACGTTTTTCTAAATTAACTTAATTAAAAAAACGAAACAAAATATAGTCACTTTGCCATTACATACAACACTGAACTATTTTAATAGCTGAAACAGTAGTATAAGCTGTTTCAGGAGAAGGAGAAAAAAGATGGGCTCCAGTCGGACTCGGGGCCAAGAATTCTGATAAGCTATCGGACAAGGGCCGGGCTAGGGCCTATATTTGAGGCCCGTGCAGGGCTCTACTTCAAGTCACTTTAGAAGTTGGTTGTGGCCCTCTGGTTGGGAGCCATTGATGTAGATGTATGAATAAGAGAAATTAGTGTAAAATTGGGTTAAAAAAAATGATGCTTTCAGCATTTCAACCAAGTTCAAACCAAGATTGGTAGACATTAATGGTGAAATTTACCATTTCTCTGACACTGAACAGAAGAGCAAAAATAATGACTTTTTTTTTTGTGATCAACTTTTTATTGTCTTTAGATTAACAAAATAACATCCATTCAAACAAACAAACAGGGAAGGGGGAGCAACAGACATATTATCAATAATTTACAATCAAATAATGACTGTTTTCAAACAGATTTTCCAATCTGCCATTGGTTGGGCTAACAGACTGTCCTGCCCCTTTATTTGTAATTGACTGATATCATTGGTTGTGTCCGTTTGGCTACTTCTCAAACAAACAAAGCCACATTATTGCATCTTTTGGGGAAATCAACCTACAAACAATTTGTTGTATACATATATTAATAAACAAAACAGCATTTTAACACAGAAAAAACTCACTATACCTTTAAGTCAAGACTTTTTGCCAAATGTTGGGATGTTTGACAGTTTTTGAAGTTTCTTGAAGCATCTTGGAGACGTTGCCACAGTTCTTCTGGATTGAGTCTGTCTCAGTTTGTTCTGTTTCTTCATGTCATTCCAGACAGACTGATGATGATCAGATCAGATCTCTGTGTGGAGCACTGGCTGTTGACAGAAAAAAATCTCACTGGATTATTACAATTAATGGCAAAATGAATGTTTGGAAATGTAAACTGATATTTCCTACTGACACACTACAGCAAAAGACAGAAATAACTGACTTAAAACCTTTTTTTAGCTGCTGAAAATACTAGTGTTCTAATCATTTTGGCCACCACTGTATATACAGCGGGTAAAATAAGTATTGAACACGTCAACATTTTTCTCAGTAAATATATTTCTAAAGGTGCTGTTGACATGAAATTTTCACCAGATGTCGATAACAAACCAAGTAATCCATACATACAAAGAAAACAAAAAAATAAGTTCAGAAATTAATGGAATGGAATGGCAAAGTGAAAAAGTATTGAACTACTGAAATGAAAATATTTAATACATCGTACAAAAGCCTTTGTTGGTAATGACAGCTTCAAGACTAAACTAGTGGCATGCATTGCTCAGGTGTGATTTTGGCCCATTCTTCCACACAAGCAGTCTTCAAAGCTTAAAGGTTCTGTGGGCCTCTTCTATGAACTCTGATCTTTAGTTTTTATTTTCTATTGGATTCAAGTCAGGTGATTGGCTGGCCATTCTAGCAGCTTTATTTTCTTTCTCTGAAACCAAATGACAGTTTCCTTGGCTGTGTTCAGGATCATTGTCTTGCTGAAATGTCCACTCTTGTTTCATCTTCATCATCCTGGTACTGTAGGTGTTGCGACTGAACCAGCTAATATTAATTTCCACTGACAAGGGGCAGGATTGCTTTGTAATTACTGTCCTATTTCCATGCCTTTTTGCACCTCCCTTTCTTCATGTGTTCAATACTTTTTCCGTGTCATTCCATTTTATTACACATAACTTAATTTCTGAACTTTTTTGTTTTGATTTCTTTGTATGCATGGATTACTTGGGTTGTTATCGACATCTAGTGAAAATTTCAAGTCAACAGCACCTTTAGAAATATATTAACTGAGAAAAATGGTGACGTGTTCAATACTTATTTTACCCGCTGTACCTGCTAGTGTACTGTATGTATAATGTAGTTACATAAAATCTGGGATTAAGTCAACTTGTTCACTTGTGTTCAGCGAATGCGTTCGGATGCAGAAACCCAGTGGCCCGTGTTTGATGACATGGAGAGTGAGCTGGCCAAGGCCACGGCGGTCAGCCAGCGCATGCTTCAGGTTCACAGCGAGCGGGACACCGAGCTGGATCACTACCAGCAGCTCCTGGGCAGCCTGCAGGACCGCTGGCGCGCCGTCTTCGCTCAGATCGACCTGCGTCAGCGTGAGCTCGAGCAGCTGGGCCGGCAGCTGGGCTACTACAGGGAGAGCTACGACTGGCTCATCCGCTGGATCGCAGACGCCAAACAGCGGCAGGAGAAGATCCAAGCCGTGCCTATAATCGACAGCAAGATGCTCAAAGAGCAACTGGCACAGGAGAAGGTACTGAATGACACAAGCTTTCTCCATAGAGGTTTTCACACGGCGTTTAACCCTGGGTTAACAGCTAGTGACGGATAGTTTTAACAATGGGTTAAGCAATACTTCACGCTTGTTTGAAGACTTTTTAGTGATAATCTAAGTTGCCTATCCAAAGGTGAACAGTATAAATGCTATGAGTTACACCCAACACCCACTTATTAAATGCCTCACTTTACGTCATTAGATATTTACCGTTAAGCTCATTTAGTTATCAATGTCCAACTGAAACTGAAAATAACAAGAACCAGTGACATCAAATGTAATAAATAAAGTATTATTTTTATAGTGTCTGAGACTGATTTACATGTCTAAATTTACACAGATAGACAACATGTTATTTAAATAAATCACATACTCTTGCTGTATTTACATAAGTGTTATTCATTTCATAAACATGATGATATAAATATATAAAATAATATTAAATATCTATTTACAGATGTGCAGTGTAGCATTTTAAAAATGAAAGTTTGAGCAGTGTGAAATATGGAACTAGATCAATAAAGATCTTGTGAGGAATGTTTTAATTCTCAGAAGAGAAGCTTCTGGAATATTAACTTATGTGCAGTAGTTGTCTGACATACATTGCAATGAGATTCTTTTTGTTAAGCTGTTGCAAAGGTATAAGTATAATATGCAGGTTTTTTTCACAGAAACTGCTTGAAGAGATTGAGAAAAACAAAGAGAAAGTTGATGAGTGCCAGAAATACGCCAAAGCTTACATCGATACCATTAAGGTGAGAGAGAGTTCTATAAGAGAGAGTATATAAATGTATTTATTTACCTAAATTTGTGGTTGGAGTGCTACAATCTTAATTTTTTTTCCAGGACTATGAACTTCAATTGGTTGCCTACAAAGCTCAGGTCGAACCTCTGACTTCTCCTTTGAAGAAAACCAACATGGAGTCTGCCTCTGATAACATCATTCAAGAGGTTAGAAAGAGCTCAGATCATTCACTTCTTATACATTTGCATTATTTGACTGCTGCATAGGTTACTATGGTGTTTATTATTTTCAGTGTGCACCTATGTTATCCTACCAACTTTAATTTAAATATTTTAATTGTAATTTTTTCAATATGCTTTGTCTTTTCCATAGTATGTCACTCTGAGAACTCGCTATAGTGAGCTGATGACGCTGACCAGTCAGTACATCAAGTTCATCACAGACACGCAGCGGCGCATCGAGGACGAGGAGGTGCGTGACATCAGGGGACCCTGTTCATACCAAACTAACCCAACACCTAACATTAACCAACCCAACCAACCACTCATCAGAAAAAACATCTAGATATAATTAATGTATGGCTGACTCGACATTTCTTCTATGCCATTTTGGGCACAAATAAAACTATTTTCAATAGTATTCTACTGCAAGTGTTTCAGAAATATATGACGGGTAGAACACATTTGAATAAATCCTGTCCTAATTATGTCTTGCTTAAAATATTAAGCATTAATAATCACATTATCTGTTAAGGGCAATTTATTTATTTTTTCTATTTTTTACACTTTTATTTTTGCAACAAAAAAGAAGAAAGAATAGCTTATGATGATTAATTTGCAGATACATTTAATTTAATTTAATTTATTTGAAAAGGTACAAGCAGCTGATGAGGTATTTTGACATTTTAACAGAACAGTAAATGTTATATTTGTACATCAGACAGTGTCTGATACACAGTAGGGAGAACAAGCCATATGAGGCCCACCTTTCCTGTATACTTTACTCTTTTCTCACTACTGTATGTCTTTCAAACCCTAACCTTTGATTTCTTTGCTTCTCTTAACTGCTTGCCAGTGCTTTGTCTTGATGATTGCTTGATCTTTTTTGGGCTCTAAAGAGGTAAAACTTTTCATTATGCTATAGTAATTTCATAACAATATTCCAGTATCCTTCTTCATGAATATTCTGCATTTTCTTCCATCAAGCTTTTATGATTTAACCGTTCTAATTAAATGTTATGGCACTTTTTTTCATTGTAGTTTTCTGATTCTCATTGCTCATATGGTAGATTATCTACTTAATTCATTTTTAATTACCTTAAATGGTCTCCACAATACCTAACTTAATATACATAACTTAAATATAATAAAGTAGTCGTAGTTGTAATATATTTGTTTATATTTAATATATTTATATATTTTATTTTAATTTTTATATATTTATGAAAAAAAAAAAAAGTGTTGGCCCCCTTCCTGATTTCTTATTTGTTTGCATGTTTGTCACACTTTAATGTTTCAGATCATCAAACAAATTTAAATATTAGTCAAAGATAACACAAGTAAACACAACATGCAGTTTTTAAATGAAGGTGTGTTCACTTGTGTTATCTTTTACTAATATTTAAATTTGTTTGATGATCTGAAACATTAAAGTGTGACAAACATGCAAACAAATAAGAAATCAGGAAGGGGGCCAACACTTTTTCACACCACTGTATATGGTATAGGTGTAAATAATCTTATTTGAGAATCAGATTCCTACTGCCCTTATATGTTATATTTTAAGGTAATTTTTAGATCATGATATTTTCATACTAAGCTTTCCTCTTTATCTGTCGATAAGGACCTGCATGTCTGCCTGAATCATTGCTTTTAACACTTATAGCTCATTTTCCATTGCTAACTAGAGTACTTGCTTGCACTGTTGGTATTTAGTTGTTCTGTTTTTCTCACCATTTTTTCAGGCCACCAAATCAAGTTCTCATTCTTAACAATGATAAATTTTTTTTTTTTAACACACTAGTAGTTTGCATTAATTGTGTGCTAAGTTTTCATCCAGTCATTTAGTTTATAGCAACAGCATATTGATTATATTCTATATTTTTCTGCAGAGCTTTTTTTTTTTTTAAATCACTTTGTTCAACTGGAATGTAGTAAATGATTTTTATAGTGCTACCATTTAGGAGCATCTCCCTCGCATGTTATGAGAGTGTAGTGTTATAAACCAATGTCTTGTGTCTCCATACATTAATTATATCATCTTACCATAACCCAAATGATTGCATATTATTTTTGACTGTTAATTTACCTTAACCCCATTTGTCATGATTGCATCTAAGCCTGTCTTTCTTTGAGCCAAATAATCATCTTAACACTTAAAGAATTAGTTCACTGAAAAATGCAAATTTTTGTCATCATTCGCTCATCCTGATGTTATTCCAAACCCTAAATGTCTGTCTTGCTTCCATGGAACACAAAAGAGAAACATTTAATAATGAATAGGATTATTTACTTACTTATTTATTTACATACTTTCAAGCTTCAAAAGTCATGAAACATAATAACAGTCGTCCATAAAACGTGTGTGTTGTCTTCCTAGATTTCTGAAGATATTCAATTAGGTTAAAATTTTAATCGCTATTCAGTGAAAAATATTCTAGTGAATAGCAACTTGCTGATTGATGATCTGCTCTGGACGTTTGACATCTGCTGTTATCATTTACTTTTATTATGTTAAAAAGAGTGGCCGAGATACATACAGTATGTATATATGTATACGTATGTGTGTGTGTATGTGTATATATATATATATATCACACACATCACTTTTTGTGTTCTATGGAAGAAAGTTAAAATATAATATCAAGTCAATACCGTTTTGTAATGACAGGGTGAGTAAATAATAACAGAATTTTCATTTTTGGGTAAACTACTCCTTTAACACCTCGTCATGCTTAATCTTAATCATCTTTCTTTACGATTTACTTCCACTAATACAGAAAGCTACTGAGAAACTAAAAGCAGAAGAGAGGAAAAAAATGGCTGAGATGCAGGCAGAGTTAGAGAAACAGAAGCAGCTAGCTGAAGCTCATGCCAAGGCCATTGCCAAAGCGGAGAAAGAGGCACAGGAGCTCAAGCTCATGATGCAAGAGGAGGTTAGCAAACGAGAGATTGTTGCTGTGGATGCTGAAAGGCAAAAACAGAACATCCAGCTGGAGCTGCACGAGCTCAAAAACCTCTCCGAACAACAGATCAAATCAAAGAGCCAACAAGTGGAGGAGGCTTTACAAAGCCGGGTTAAGATAGAGGAAGAGATCCGCATCATAAGACTTCAGCTGGAAACTACATTGAAGCAAAAGTCCACTGCAGAGGATGAGCTCAGACAGCTTAGAGACAAGGCTGCAGAGGCGGAGAGACTTCGCAAAGCTGCTCAGGAAGAGGCTGAGAAACTTCACAAGCAGGTTAACGAGGAGACTCAGAAGAAGCGGATGGCGGAGGAAGAGTTGAAGCTGAAGTCTGAAACAGAGAAAGAGGCTGCCAGGCAGAAGCAGAAAGCCCTGGATGACCTTGCGAAGCTCAAGATGCAGGCAGAGGAGGCAGAAAGACACATGAAGCAGGCTGAGATCGAGAAAGACAGACAAATCAAGCTCGCTCAAGACGTAGCTCAGAAAAGTGCTGCTGCTGAGCTGCAGAGCAAGCGCATGTCCTTTGTCGAGAAGACATCCAAACTTGAGGAGTCGCTCCGAGAGAAGCACGGGACTGTCGTGCAACTGCAGGAGGAGGCAGAACGCCTCAAGAAGCAACAGGAAGAGGCAGACAAAGCAAGGGAGGAGGCTGAGAAGGAGCTTGAAAAGTGGAGGCAAAAAGCCAATGAAGCCCTTCGTCTAAGGCTCCAGGCAGAGGAAGAAGCCCACAAAAAGACTCTTGCACAGGAAGATGCTGAAAAACAGAAAGACGAGGCTGAGCGTGAGGCCAAAAAACGGGCCAAAGCTGAAGAGTCTGCCCTGAAACAGAAAGACATGGCCGAGCAAGAGCTGGAGCGGCAGAGGAAGCTGGCAGAGAGCACAGCGCAACAGAAGCTATCCGCAGAGCAGGAGCTGATCCGCTTGAGGGCTGATTTTGATCATGCCGAGCAACAGAGATCACTGCTCGATGATGAACTGTACCGTCTAAAGAATGAGGTTAGTGCTGCAGAGCAGCAGCGGAAGCAGCTTGAAGATGAGCTTTCCAAAGTTAGAAGTGAAATGGACATACTTTTGCAACTGAAGTCTAAAGCTGAAAAGGACAGCATGTCCACCACTGAAAAGAGTAAACAACTCTTGGAAGCTGAAGCTGCTAAACTGAGGGATCTTGCAGACGAAGCAGCCAAGCTCCGTGCCATTGCTGAAGAGGCAAAGAGACAGAGGCAGGTGGCTGAGGAAGAAGCAGCGAGACAGAGAGCGGAAGCTGAGAGAATTCTCAAAGAGAAACTTGCTGCCATTAATGAGGCCACTCGCTTGAAAACTGAAGCAGAGATTGCTCTAAAAGAAAAAGAGGCAGAAAATGAACGCCTGAGAAGGAAAGCTGAGGATGAGGCTTACCAGAGAAAAGCTCTTGAAGATCAGGCAAGCCAGCACAAGCAAGACATTGATCAGAAGATCGAACAACTCAAGAAGTCCTCTGAAATGGAATTAGACAGACAGAAATCAATTGTGGATGAAACTCTCAAACAGAAAAGAATAGTTGAAGAGGAGATTCGTATCTTGAAAGTGAACTTTGAGAAGGCTTCATCTGGCAAGCTTGATTTGGAGCTTGAACTGAATAAGCTGAAGAATATTGCAGAGGAAACACAACAAAGCAAACTGCGAGCTGAAGAGGAAGCCGAGAAGCTGCGCAAGCTTGCCCTTGAAGAAGAAAACAGAAGAAGGGAGGCTGAAGAAAAACTTAAAAAGATTACTGCCGCAGAGCAGGAAGCAGCTCGACAGCGCCAGGTTGCTCAAGAAGAAGTGGAGCGTCTCAAAAGGAAAGCTGATGAGGCCAGAAAGCAAAAAGAAGATGCTGATAAAGAAGCTGAGAGGCAAATACTCGCTGCAAAAGAGGCTGCTGAGAAAGCAATTACAGCTGAGCAGCAAGTCCAAAGTGTTCTTGTTCAGCAGAAAGAGGACAGCCTAGTACAGAAAAGGCTCAAGGAGGAGTTTGAGAAAGCCAAAAAGCTTGCCCAAGAAGCGGAAAAGGCCAAAGAAAAGGCAGAGAAAGAGGCTGCCCTCCTCCGCCAACAAGCAGAAGATGCAGAGCATCAGCGTCAGGCTGCTGAGGTTGAGGCAGCCAATCAGGCCAAAGCCCAAGAAGCCGCTGAGAGGCTCAGAAAAGAGGCAGAGCTAGAGGCAGAAAAGCGTGCCCAGGCAGAGGCAGCAGCACTGAAACAGAAACAGCTAGCTGATGAGGAGATGGCTAGGCACAAGACACTTGCAGAGCAGACACTTAAGCAGAAGTCTCAGGTTGAGCAAGAGCTCGCTAAAGTGAAACTGCGGTTGGATGAGACAGACAAACAGAAGACTCTCCTAGATGATGAGCTTCATCGCCTAAAGGACGAGGTCAGTGATGCTGTTAAACAGAAAGCCCAGGTAGAGGAGGAACTGTTCAAGGTCAAGATTCAAATGGAGGAGCTCATCAAACTCAAGCTCAGAATTGAAGAGGAGAACCAACGTCTCATCCAGAAGGACAAAGATAATACTCAAAAATTCTTGGCTGAGGAGGCTGAGAACATGAAAAAACTTGCAGAGGATGCTGCCAGGCTCAGCATTGAGGCCCAGGAGACTGCTCGCATGAGACATATTGCAGAGACTGACCTTGCCGAGCAAAGAGCACTTGCTGAAAAGATGCTTAAAGAAAAGATGCAAGCCATTCAGGAGGCCTCTAAACTTAGAGCAGAGGCAGAAATGCTACAGAGACAGAAAGACCTTGCCCAAGAGCAAGCTCAAAAGCTGCTTGAAGACAGACAACTGATGCAGCAACGGCTTGAGGAGGAAACTGAGGGCTTCCAAAAATCGTTGGAGGCTGAGCGCAGAAGACAGTTGGAGATAACAGCTGAGGCAGAGAAACTTAGACTTCAGGTGTCCCAGCTCAGTGATGCTCAGTCTAGAGCTGAGGAGGAAGCCAAGAAATTCAAGAAGCAGGCAGATGAGATTAATGCCCGACTTCATGAGACCGAGCTTGCCACCAAAGAGAAAATGACAACTGTTGAAACATTTGAAATACAGAGATTGGGCAGTAACAAAGAATCAGATGACTTGCGCAAAGCCATTGCTGATCTTGAGAAAGAGAAGTCAAAATTGAAAAAAGAGGCTGAAGAGTTACAGAAAAAGTCCAAAGAGGTATTGTGTAAAAGATGGCATAAATTGCTGCTCATGTCATTGTTAACACTCTCTCCGAAAACTAACATTGCTTTAAATCAGTTCCTTTTTTGTTACAAATGTTCCAATCTTTGATTATATTCCCTAATGATTTCTCATTAATCTTAAAATGGATATTTACATCTTGAAAATTATTTGTCTGAATGCTTTTTTAACATTGTTTTAACTTTGTTAATTGTTTCTTCTTTTACAGATGGCGAATGCTCAGCAAGAACAAATTAAACAGGAGAAAACATTTCTCCAACAGACATTTATGTCAGAAAAGGAGATGCTGCTGAAGAAGGAAAAACAAATTGAGGATGAAAAAAAGAGGTTAGAGAGCCAATTTGAAGAAGAGGTCAAAAAGTCAAAAGCCCTTAAGGATGAGCAGGAACGTCAAAGAAAACAAATGGAGGATGAGAAGAATAAACTGAAGGCCACTATGGATGCTGCTCTGATAAAACAGAAAGAGGCTGAACAAGAGATGCTTAACAAGCAAAAAGAGATGCAAGAACTTGAGAGGAAAAGGCTTGAACAAGAAAGGGTTCTTGCTGAGGAAAACCAGAAACTGCGTGAGAAACTTCAGCAGCTTGAGGTTGCTCAAAAAATCACCCAGGAGATTCACATCCAGACAGAATGCAAAAAAGTCCTCAATGGTCAAAGTATTTCTGATGAAGTTGACAGCACACATGGCTTCTCTCCATTATCCTTCGATGGCATTCGTGAGAAGGTGCCTGCAAGTAGACTTTTTGAAATAGGACTTTTAAGCAAAATGGATTATGATAAGCTCCAGAGCGGTGACACCACAGTCAAAGAACTCAGCCAGACAGACAAACTTAAAACAGTTCTTCGGGGCAAGAACTGCATTGGTGGCCTGCTTGTGCATCCAAATCAAAAAATGCCCATCTATCAAGCCGTCAAGGAGAAGAAGATTGCTCCTGGGACGGGGCTAGTGCTGCTGGAGGCACAGGCTGCTTCTGGATACATAATAGACCCAGTTAAAAACAAGAAACTCTCTGTCAATGAGGCAGTTAAAGAGGGTCTAATTGGACCTGAACTTCACAACAAGATGCTGTCTGCGGAGAGAGCTGTCACTGGCTACAAGGATCCATACACAGAGGCAAAGATCTCCCTCTTTGAAGCTATGAAGAAGGGTCTCATTGGGGAGGATCATGCCATCAGGTTGCTTGAGGCTCAGATAGCAACAGGTGGCATTATTGATCCGGTCAATAGTCATCGTGTGCCAAATGAAATAGCTTATAAGCAGGGTCAGTTTGATGCAGCCACCAATAAAATCCTACAAAATCCAACAGACGAAGTCAAGGGATTCTATGATCCAAACACCCAAGAAAATCTGATGTACCAACAGCTACTAGAAAGGTGTGTGACTGATCCAGGAACAGGACTTCTACTTTTGCCTATTTCTGAGGAGGCTGCTCAAAATGCCAGGATATTCACAGATGAGGAAACAAGAGATGTGTTTGACAAGACAACTGTGTCTGTGCCATTCGGCCGTTTTAAAGGAAAGACTGTGACCATATGGGAGATTATAAACTCTGAGTACTTCACTGAAGACCAGAAAAAAGATCTTATCCGCCAGTACAAAACGGGAAAAATTACAGTTGAAAAGATCATCAAAATTGTCCTAACTGTGGCAGAGGAAAAAGAGAAAAAGAATGAGCTTGCCTTTAATGGCCTGAGAGCACCTGTACCTGCTACAAAACTTCTTGAATCAAAAGTTATTGACAAAGATCTCTATAACAAGTTGCAGAAAGGACAACTGCTGGTAAAAGACGTGTCTGAGATGGAGCATGTGCGCAATGCCTTGAAAGGCTCTAACTGCATTGCTGGAATAATTATTGACTCAACCAAACAAACAATGTCCCTTTATGATGCCATGAAAAGAGACATGATGAGACCTGGGCCTGCTCTTAATCTCTTGGAAGCACAAGCTGCCACGGGATATGTCATAGATCCTGTTAAAAACCAAAAACTTACAGTAGATGAGGCTGTCAAAGCAGGTGTTGTTGGTCCAGAATTTCATGAAAAACTGCTGTCTGCAGAGAGAGCTGTCACAGGCTATAAAGATCCTTACACTGGAAAAACAATTTCTCTGTTCGAGGCTATGAAGAAAGACCTGATCATGAAGGAACAAGGAATTCGACTGCTTGACGCACAACTGGCAACCGGAGGCATCATTGATCCTGTTCAAAGTCACCGTATTCCACATGACATTGCCTGCACAAAGGGCTGCTTTGATGATGCAACCCAGAAGTTTTTGAGCAGCCCAAGTGATGAAGTTAAGGGATACTTTGACCCAAACACTCAGGAATATCTCACATATCCACAGCTTTATAAACGATGTGTCACTGACAAAAAGACTGGCCTTCACCTTCTGCCTTTGTCTGAACAAGCTATCAATGCCAAAGAGGAGATGAAGTACACTGATGCCCAGACCAAAGACGCAATGACTCAGGCAACTGTTGAACTTCAAAGTGGACCATTCAAAGGGAGAAAAGTTACCTTATGGGAGCTCATTATCTCTGACTATATCACTGAAGAGCAAAGGCTTGACCTAATAAGGCAATACAGATCTGGGAAAATGACAATTGAGAAGATTATAAAGGTTTTAATTGAAATTGTTACTAAGAAAGATGCCAAGAAACAAGAAGAGGGCTGCTTTAAGGGACTTAGGGCGCCAGTTCCAGCCAAGTCATTATTTGACTCCAAAATCATTGATAAGTCTACCTATGATTTGCTGGAACAAGGTAAAAAGACTCCAAAAGAGGTCAGCAAAAACGCTTCAGTCAACAAGTATCTCCAAGGCTCTGAGAGCATTGGTGGACTTTACCTTGAGCCTACAAAAGAGAAAGTTAGCATCTACCAAGCAATGAAAAGGAAATTCCTCAGACAGAACACAGGTATTGCCTTGCTTGAAGCTCAAGCTGCCACAGGATTCATTGTGGATCCATCAAGAAATGAATGTCTCACTGTGGATGATGCTGTTAAAGCAGGTCTTGTTGGCCCAGAGCTTCATGAGAAACTTCTCTCTGCTGAAAAAGCTGTCACTGGATATAAAGACCCATTCACAGGCAATAAGATCTCCCTATATCAAGCCATGGACAAAGACCTCATCCCCAAAGAACATGCCATGCCTCTCTTGGAGGCACAACTGGCATCTGGTGGAATTATTGATCCAGTAAACAGTCATCGTATTCCTGTTGAGACTGCAATCCAGCGTGGATATGTTACCAAACAGCTGGCTAACAGCATTGCTGAAAGCAAGTACTTCTCTGACCCTGCATCTGATGAGAACGTATCATACAAACAGTTGAAAGACAAGTGCATGGCAGATCCTGATACAGGCTTACATCTACTAAAGCTCTCCAAACCACAGGCCCCAACGGTTGTGGAGAAGACATACCTTTACAGTGAAGAACAAACCCAGAGTGATCTATCCAATACCCAGATTGACCTACCCATTGAAGGTCAGGGCTCTATGTCTCTCTGGGATGTCATGAATTCAAATCTACTACCTGAAGATCAGAGGGCTCGGGTTCTAGAAGAATATCGTTCTGGCAACATAACAAAGGAACGAATGATTATCATTATAATTGAGATTCTGGAGCAGAGAGAGATCATTAAAGGGGGGAGCACCCAGACCGGCAGCACAAGTAGACGTCAAATCACTATTGAAGATCTCTACAATGCCCGTATCATCGACCTTGAGACTTACAACCTGCTGAAGAAAGAGAATAAGACTATGCGTGATGTCATGGATATGCAAAGAGTTAAACAATATTTGTATGGAACTGGCAGTGTTGCTGGTGTGGTGACTGATTCAAATTCCAAGATGAGCATTTATCAAGCAATGAAGAGAGAGCTGATGAAGCCAGACATTGCAATGGCCCTCTTGGAGGCTCAAGCAGCCACTGGATTCATTATTGATCCTGTCAGGAATGAAATGCTCACTGTAGATGAAGCAGTGCGTAAAGGCGTGGTGGGCCCAGAACTTCATGATAAGCTCCTGTCTGCAGAGAGAGCAGTCACTGGCTATAAGGATCCATATAGTGGAAAGGTGGTCTCCCTCTTCCAAGCAATGAAAAAGGACCTTGTCCCAGAGGACTATGCCCTAAGGCTCCTTGAAGCACAAACAGCAACAGGCGGTATCATTGATCCAGAATATAACTTCCACTTGCCAACAGAGATTGCCACACAACGTGGATATATTAACAAAGAGACAAATGAAAAGCTCTCAGACGAGGTTAAGGGATTTGTAGACCCATTGAATGATGAAAAAGTTTCATATTCTCAGCTTCTAAAAAGATGCAAGGTAGACAAAGATGGGCAATATCTGTTGTCTCTAGGAGACAAAAGACTGCTCTTCAAAGGTCTCAGAAAAGAAATAACAATAGAAGAGTTATTCCGCTCAAAAATCATCGATGAACAAACAGTCAGCAAGCTTAATGAGGGATTACTTACAGTGGAGGAGGTGAGCAATAGCTTGCGAAAATATCTTGAGGGCTCAAGCTGTATTGCTGGCGTGTTTGTGGAGTCTACTAAAGACCGACTCTCTATCTACCAAGCCATGAAAAAGAATATGATCAGGCCAGGCACTGCTTTCGAGTTGCTGGAAGCTCAAGCAGCCACAGGTTATATCATTGACCCTATCAAGAACCTCAAGTTAACTGTAAATGAAGCAGTCAAGATGGGAATCGTCGGTCCAGAGTTCAAAGATAAGCTCCTGTCTGCTGAGAGGGCTGTGACTGGCTATAAAGATCCTTATACAGGCAAAATGATCTCCCTGTTCCAGGCTATGAAAAAGGGCCTGATTTTGAGAGACCATGGAATTCGTCTTCTCGAGGCCCAGATTGCTACTGAAGGAATCATTGACCCAGAGCAGAGTTGTGGAGTCTACTAAAGACCGACTCTCTATCTACCAAGCCATGAAAAAGAATATGATCAGGCCAGGCACTGCTTTCGAGTTGCTGGAAGCTCAAGCAGCCACAGGTTATATCATTGACCCTATCAAGAACCTCAAGTTAACTGTAAATGAAGCAGTCAAGATGGGAATCGTCGGTCCAGAGTTCAAAGATAAGCTCCTGTCTGCTGAGAGGGCTGTGACTGGCTATAAAGATCCTTATACAGGCAAAATGATCTCCCTGTTCCAGGCTATGAAAAAGGGCCTGATTTTGAGAGACCATGGAATTCGTCTTCTCGAGGCCCAGATTGCTACTGGAGGAATCATTGACCCAGAGCAGAGTCACCGATTGCCAGTTGAAGTGGCCTACAACCGAGGCTTTTTCGATGAGGAGATGAACGAGATCCTCAGTGACCCATCGGATGACACCAAGGGCTTCTTTGACCCAAACACCGAGGAGAATCTTACCTACTTGCAACTGATGGACAGGTGTATTGTCGACCCAGACACAGGTCTTGTGCTCTTGCTTCTTAAAGAAAAGAAACGCGAGAGAAAGACGTCTTCCAAATCCTCTGTTCGCAAACGCAGAGTCGTCATTGTTGATCCTGATTCGGGTAAAGAGATGTCTGTGTATGAAGCCTACCGCAAAGGACTAATTGACCATCAGACTTACCTTGAACTTTCAGAGCAAGAGTGTGAGTGGGAAGAAATCACAATGACATCATCAGAAGGGGTTGAAAAGTCTATACTCATTGACCGAAGATCAGGTCGACAGTATGACATTGATGATGCTATTGCAAGAGGTCTTATCGACCAGAGTGCAATTGAGCAGTACCGCGCTGGCACCCTCTCTATCACAGAATTTGGTGATATGTTATCTGGAAACATGAGTGGCTTCCGTTCCTGCTCCTCTTCATTTGGTTCCACCTCCTCTTATCCAATGAGCCCCATACCTTCCATCAAAACTCCTGCAACTGTATGGAATGATCCAACTGAGGAGACCGGTCCTGTGGCTGGAATCCTTGATACAGATAGCCTAGAAAAAGTTTCCATCACTGAAGCCATGCGTAGGAACTTAGTGGATTCTATATCTGGCCAGAGACTGTTGGAGGCACAGGCTTGCACTGGTGGCATAATAGACCCATCTACTGGAGATAAATTCTCAGTTGCCGAAGCCACAGAGAAGGGTCTTTTAGACAAGATAATGGTTGACAGACTCAACTTGGCCCAGAAAGCTTTCCATGGGTTTGAGGATCCTCGCACTAAAGTCAGAATGTCTGCTGCTCAGGCTCTCAAGAAAGGCTGGCTTTACTATGAGGCAGGGCAACGTTTCCTGGAAGTGCAGTATCTCACTGGTGGCCTTATTGAGCCGGAGGCTGAGGGACGAATCTCCCTAGAGGAGGCAATCAGGAAAGGTGCTATTGATGGCCGTACAGCACAAAAGCTCAGAGATGTGAGTGCTTACACAAAATACCTTACTTGCCCCAAAACCAAACTGAAGATCTCCTACAAAGATGCCATGGACAGAAGCATGGTTGAGGAGGGATCTGGCCTTAGGCTTCTGGAAGCATCATCAGTATCCAGTAAAGGTCTCTACAGTCCTTACAATGTCAGTGGTGCCGCATCTGCTTCTGGTTCTCGGTCTGGATCCAGGACAGGCTCTAGGTCAGGTTCAAGAAGAGGCAGCTTTGATGCTACTGGCTCTGGATTCAGCCTGAACTTCTCAACATCCTCATATACTTCCTCTGGTTACAGCCGCAGATTTTAAAGCCGGACCTCAAAACAAACCTACCACATGGTCCTGCAGCTTTCATTATCAATGCTGACTCTATACACTACAGTTAGATAAGACAGATAAAAAATAATCACTTTATTATGCTTTGCATGTGTTTGGTATAGGAAAATGCATTCCAAAAACTACCAGTATCTTTTTGTCTGGCAATGGTTAAGTTCCCATTTTATATATTTTAGAACTATTGCCTGGTTAGCTTTAATCATAGTTGTCTAATTTAGGTTTATTTCAGTTCATACATATATTGCATATTTTCAAAGTGATATTTTTCTTTTCTTGTTTTATACTAAGTACAGCATCTAAAATCAGGAAAAGTTCAAATACAACAAATTACATTTTGGAGATTTTTTTAAAATCAAACTCTGATTAGACTGTATTCAATATTACTTACTATTACATTTCTACATGTTATTTTACGAAATTATTTTTATACTTTTGTTTATTTAAGCATAATGTACCAGCAAAATATACCAAGTTTTACAAAAAAAGTAATTAGATTAAGAAAGAGTGTGGTTGTTTTTACATATTTGTATAGATTTGATGGATGGATATATTAGAGGATGCTAGCCATCATAGCAAATAAAAGTTGCCGCTGGTTTCAGAGAATATAAAAAAAAACACTACACCTATACATAAACACTAAAGGAGGAGCATGTACTTTGTACAACAAGCCAATTTTAATGTCCCCTAAAACTGGATGTTATTTTTGTTATGAAAGTCCATTTTTCATTTACTGGATCCAGTCCGTCTCCAAAGTCCTTTTAAAAAAAAAAAAAAAGGAGTCCTCAAGGCCCAGATTTACTGTCAGTCCTCCACTGATGTGATATCCAATGAAGATTTCAGATGGCTCAGGTGTCTGATCCATTCCTCACTCATAACATCTGGGCAGATCTGGATGAAATGTAGTACTTGTAAGTTGAACTAAATTTACATTTATTGCCGCTGTTTCCTAATGAGCACATTGATTTTACTTTTCTATATCATTTTTATTGTCTCAACACCTATCACCTTCTTTTTTAACAAATTGAATGCCATACTGTATGTCTGCTTATTCTAAAGGATTTTCTTGACAGCATTAAGCCATATAAAAGTTCTTGTGTCGTTTATAGTGTCTGTTTTGTCGTGTTCTTTCTCTCACAGAGATCATCGGTTACTAGATATGGACACCTTGATGATGCCTCACATTTGGTCTTGGATCTGGAGATGAATGGTGCTCATGAGAAGCCCACATTCTTAGACATTCAGGTATTTATTAAATATTCACCATCTCTCTATGATTTTGCATTGTATGCACCTATGTTTGATATTTTTGTTTCCCTTCACTGTTTTGTTGCCCTTTTGTCATTTTGTTGCTTCACAGTCTATTTTTAATGTTGTTTTTAGAGCCTCACTGAAGGTTTCCTCCTTCCATTGCATCTGCCATTTGCATGAAGACACTAGAGGCTAGGGCTACCTTGAAGTTTGCCTTGGATATCATATCAAGAACTGACACTTTAGTGGACTGCTCCTGTTTTCATCAGCTGGGAGCTGGACTTTGGAGTTTACACAAAATCATTCAAAACAACAAAATAATTGGATCCATTAAATTGATCTTAATGTGGACTTTTATGCAGAATCTCAGAGTTCTATTGCCTACATTGTTTCTAGCCCCAATATGAGTTTTTAAATAAAGCACTCAATGCATTAGATACAGTATGCAAACCATTGTTTTGCATTACACATTTACATAATACAAATAAATACTGATTACTTCTTTGACAATGTATTTAGGCTCATTTAGTGTACGGCAATTTAATTTTTCATTTGTACATTTCCTGTGCCAAAAAACAAAACAAAACATCTTTTTGGTCATTTCCTGCCTCCCATGTATTTCTTTGCTGGTTTTTATATTAATTGTAGTTGACTTGACTTTTTTCTTTCTTTTCTTTTTTTGATGTTGTATATGTAAAATATTTTTTGCATGTTTTACTAACTTGCTATAAAGTGTTCTAAAAAGATGAAGAATAGATTTTTGAATTTACACCAATATATGGAAGATTATATGACTAAAAGATGTATGAAATACTAACTGGTGGATGAACTTTTTCCTTACGAGATAGTGGTAATAAAGAGTGAGTTAATAGCACTATACTCAAGTGTAAATAAATATTATTTTGGAAAGATCACTTCCAGACTTTGTAGAGTTTGTGTTTTATCTTTTATCTTGTGTTTAATCTAAATGATCATCCATGCCACTATGACATTCCAATATATAAACAGTACAGTACACATATTTCTAGCAATCATATATCAGAATACTTTTACAAAGTAAGCAGTTAAAGAACAAAGATGAGTAATCACCAGACTGTTTAAACATACAGACAGGAAGTATGGTGCTGATTAGAGAAGCAGTCAGTATTCAGTGGATGCTGTCCTCTGGTGGTAGGGAGGTTGAATGACAGGCTCAGATGACATTATGTTAAATCTGTAGGATGAAAGACAGAACCCAGAAGGAGACACATTTATGGATGGTCTGCCTTTGTGTCATTCCACTGCCGACAGCCTCTCTGGACCTCCTGCATTAACTGTGCCCATGATGCATGATGGCGGCTCTATGGTATGTCTTCAGATCAGCAGTGATATATCATTATTTTTTTAATTAATTTTGAAAAGTCTAGCTGAGTGCAATATTCATATATATGAAATAATATGCAAATGATAGTGAATTGTGAATGAATCAATAAGTATGTGCTTGTTGTGGTGTAATAAGCGTGTGTTCGGTTGGTGTCCCTCTGTTTCAGGAAGCAGCTGCTCAGAAAGGAAGACGGTATGGGTAAACTAAACATATAATGTTCATTTCCCATTTTATATTTTCATTTAATAATAAACCCCATATATTTTTCAATTAAATTCCACAAATGTAATGCGTTAAGGCTGTAGGTCATGTCTGAGCTAAAGTCTAATAGTGTCATTTATATTATATTATATTATATTATATTATATTATATTATATTTATTATAGGAGATGAGCGAGGGGGGTTATCATGATTATGTTTTACCACTAAAAAAAAATCCATAAAATTTATGGAAAAAAAATGGCAGCTGTGGTTGCCGAAATTTTACCGTAAAAAATACGGTAGCAACATTTTAGGTTTTACGGTTTTAACTTAAATTTACAGTTAAATACCATAATTTCATATAACAACTGATATAATGTTAATATACCAACCTATTGAAGTACTGAAATCTGTTTTATACCGTTGTAATACACTGATAACCACCAAAAGATGGTGATGAGAAAGTCACATGATGAACCAAAGCCCATCACAAGCAGCTTTTAAATAATAACATATATAGAAGGTGCACAGTGTCATTCACACAAACACTAAACACCATCACGGTAACACACATGAAACTGAAATAATGCAATAAACATTCATTTAACAACATTAGGTGTAACACACAACCCTAATATACAAAACTGATAAGAAAAAACTAAGAAGAAACAGTTATTTCAACAAAAAAAACATTACATTTGAAATGTAACGCAGGGAATTCTGGGAATGTCAATTTACGGTTATTCACTGTAAATTATACGGTCTTTTTCACTTACAAAACGGTATACTACCGTAAAATTACATGTAATGTCCAATACAGTTTTTCACCGTATATAGTAGGGGAATTTAACAGGTTTTTACTGTAGCATTTTTACAGTATTTTACCGTTAAATTCACAACCATTTTTTACAGTATAAATATGTCAAACCTTTTTCCATTGAATTCATCATTACAGTTATGATTTATAGGCTTTAACCCATTCATGGAGATTTCACCTAAACTGCTATATATTATTGACATATTAATATTACTGACATTAATTACTGACATTGACAAGATGCAAGCTCTGCTAGTGTTGATTATATTAAAATGGAGCAGAATTTCATGTTGTGCTAAAATCCATGATATAACAGCTATGATACACCTGCTAACCATATGCCTGATAAAAATCCAGACTAAAGCAACCTAGACTGATTTGCTGGTCTTAGCTGTGCGCTCTTCAGCTGCTGAAACTGGGAGACCAGCTAGACAGTCAAGACCAGACAGAACCAGCTAAGACCAGCAAACCATCTCAGGCTGCTTTTTTTCTTCTTCTTCTTCCAGCAGGACTTTTCACATCTTTTTGTTGTCTTCTAGCAGAAAGACAACATTACATTGATTAATTTGTGCCCTGTGTGAATTTTATGAAATTATTAAGGCACGGAGGCTGTGCTGAATATAGTCACTCCACTCTCTGTCATGTCTAACAATATACTATATTCACAATACAGCACAGCCTTGTATACAATACTGTTTAATTATCTATTCTATTCTATTCTATTCTATTCTATTATGACACACTAAAGGGCCTGTTGTCAAAATCTTGTTTTCTTTTGAACTGGGTAATAAAAGACAGATTAACTACATACACTAGTCAACAAACCAGACAACAATAGACAGAAAAATATCCATAAAATATAAAGACATTAGAAGAAGAAAAAAAAAACGATAACACTTCAGTATAGGGACCAATTCTCACTATTAACTAGTTGCTTATTAGCATGCATATTATTAGTGCATGACCATATTCTACATCCCTAATCCTGCCCAATACCTATTTAACAACCACCTTACTAACTATTAATAAGCAGCAAATTAGGACTTCATTGAAGCAAAAGTCTTAGTTAATGGTTTGTTAATGGCCCATGAAAATAATATATATTTGGTATTCATTTTTGAGCTTCTTTTGAGCTGCTTCTTTGTCACCAGTCTTCCCACTGTATATGTGAGGTGAATGTGTTCTTGTACTGTTGCTAGGATGGATTCAGAGGAGTGGAGTCAGTGGCAGAGTGAGTTCAGAGGGCAGATCAGGGCTCTGCGACACTGGCTGAAGTCCATGGAGAACAGACTCCCTCCACCGGATCCTGCTGTGAGTCTCTCACATACACTCCAGCCCAAACGTCTGAGGACACTTCTCAAACTGCTTCTGTTTTTTATTATTTTCTATCAAATGTATTTATTTATTTAAAAACATTTATTTGTTCTTATTTGAGAATGTCCCCAATAAACATCACGTGCTTGCTCAAAGTCACCCATTTACTTACATTTAATTAGCAACCAATAAATAACAACAAATCTAAAATAGTTCTTATTCACATTTCTTTTCATCTATCGATCATTTGACTCAAAGTGCAAAGCAGTGGGGGGGGGAAAAGTAAAAATCAGGATTAGGCATACAATAGGGTCTTCAGATTCATTCATAAATGTGAAAATGAGCTGAGAATTGAACAAATAGTTGTAATCTGGCTCAGATGAAGACAGGAATCATGTCTGATGATTAAGGAATAATACATAGAATACACAGGGATAATACTTCACCTTACAAATGGTTGTCAAAAGCAACAATGCTACGAAATGCCCCATATTTTGTGAGAAAGTGTGATGTGCATTATTATTTTGAATTGGCACCACAAAATTACTAAGAAACCAGTATTGGATTTTCTTCAGCAAATTTGATGCGGGGCGCTGATTTCTGTTTTAGACCGCTGGATCCCTCTTCACACAAAACATACATTTTATTATCTTCTGTTACTTGTTATACAACAGCTTTTTATTTGAATATTCAATAAGCTCAAATTTCTTTTGTGCCATTACTGAGACAGTCTTTAACCATCTCCACCCAGGCTTTCCATCCTTTTGTCTTGTGATGAAGCATAGCATCTCACTTCTCAAGACATCATACTGTAAGGAGATTAACATGAAGGTTTGGAGAAAAGTGGAGAGACATTTATGCCATGTGGCTTTTGTCATTTGATTTAAGACTAATGATCTTTATTTATAACTAAAACCAAATATATATATATATATTTATTATTATTATTATTATTTCAATATATATATATATATATATATATATGTGACCCTGGAGCACAAAAGCAGTCTTAAGTCGCTGGGGTATATTTGTAGCAATAGCCAAAAATGCATTGTATGGGTCAAAATTATAGATTTTTCTTTTATGCCAAAATCATTAGGATATTAAGTAAAGATCATGTTCCATGAAGATATTTCCTACCGTAAATATATCAAAACTTAATTTTTGATTAGTAACATGCATTGCTAAGAACTTCATTTGGACAACTTTAAAGATGATTTTCTCAATATTTGCACCCTCAGATTCCAGATTTTCAAATAGTTGTATCTCGGCCAAATATTATCCTATCCTAACAAACCATACATCAATGGACAGCTTATTTATTCAGCTTTCAGATTATGTATACATCTCAATTTCAAAAAATTAACGCTTAAGACTGGTTTTGTGGTCCAGGGTCACATATGTGTGTGAAATATTCTTATAACATGACCACCTGGATAAAAATACATGAAAAACGCAGATGAGTCCTGTCCTGAGCACATCCGGAATATGCAGGCCTCTTTGTTGAGTGGTAATTGTGTGGGTAGGGGCCTTTTTTTGATGAGAAAAAAGCTGATCAAAGGCGGCAGTGTGAGGCTTGTAACACACTGTCCCCATGGTGCTGGGATAAGCATCTCTATCAGACATGCTCAAAGAATATGCTTGAGCTATAGCCATAAATCCCCCAGCCCTGGAGGGCCGTCCTGCGAGAGGAGAGCGAGGCGCAGCTCCTCAGAAGAGAGCTCTTTTGTGTTGAGGCTGGTCGAGGAGAGCGGGCTGCAGGTTTGTGTGGGGCCCCGCGCACACATGAGAGAGCACTCTGAAAGCACATTAGACTCTGATGAGACGCTGACGGACAGGAGAAAAACAGACCGTCTTACAGTGGACGTTCTCGTGTCTGTCCACAATGGACATGTTGAAACACTCCTCTCTCTGCTTTATCTCTTCAGTGTCTCGCTCACGTCAGTAGTAATTGAGCCGTCCACTGCCAGGCTTCATGGACTTGTTTTGTACTTACACTCTACAGAAGAACATATGGAAGCTTATTTCCACCAAGGAAAATAAGTAATTGCAACTTTTAATCTCAAAATTGTGAGAAATTAATGAAAATTCAGAATTATGAGATATAAACTCACAATTGCAAGAATAAAAAATTCAAAAGGTAATTGCAACTTATCATCTCACAATTCTGACTATTTTTCATACAATTCATAGTATATCGCAGAATTCTGATTTGTCACCTCACAATGCTTATAAAAGTGAGAATTGCAAGAAATAATCTTGAAATTGCAAGAAAAAAAATTAGCTGTTTCTGCCAAGGAATAAAAAATAAAAAAGGTAATTGCTCATTTTTATCTCATAATTCTGACTATTTTAAGTTTAAATAAGATAAGTTTAAATCTCAAAATTCTGAATCCCCCCAAAAAATTAAAAATAAATAATAAAATTAAAAAAAAATCCAAATTGCAGGAACTCTGAATTTTGTGATAAAATGTCAACTTATTTTTTTTTTTATTCCATGGTGAAAATACATGGAAGCCCGTTTCGGTCATTGAATAAAAAAATTAAAAAAGGTAATTGCTGACTTTCTCAGCATTCTCAGATAGTCGCAATTGCGTGTTATAAAGTCAGAATAGCAATACATAAATTCTGAGAAAAAAGTCTATTTTTTTCCCCCCGAATTGGAATTTAATAACTGGCAATTGCAAATATTTATCTCACAATTCTAAGAAAAAAAAAATTCTGAATTGAGATATAAACTCGCAATTGTAAGAAAAAAGTCTGAATTACAAGAAAAAAGCCAAAACTTTGATATAAAACGTCCCAATTATTATTTTTTAATTTTATTCCGTGGTAATAAAAAAAGAAGACCGTTTCCGTTACTGAATAAAAAAGGCAATTGCTGACTTTCTCAGAATTCTCAGAAAGTCACAATTGCATGTTATAAAGTCAGGATGGCAAGATATAAATTCTGAGAAAAAGTTTGTTTTTTCCTCAGAATTGGACTTTAATAACTGGCATTTGCAAATATGTATCTCACAATTCTAAGAAAAAAAAAATGTGAATTGAGATACAAACTTGCAATTGTAAGAAGAAAAGTCAGAATTGCGAGAAAAAAGACAAAACTGTGAGATAAAAAGTCACAATTGTTGCTATGATGTTGCTGAGGTAGTGGCTTGTTGGTCCCAGTCAAAAGAGTCTCTGTGATCTGGTCTGGTTCCTAAATATGGCTCAGGTTCCTCGTCCAGTGTCAGTCTATGGGATTGTTGCAAGTATATTGTTGGATTTTCACCTGTTGTTTTGTTTTACAGGTGAAAATCCTTAGGGTTAGTATTAGTATGAGCATTGTCGCTTGTAGCAAACTATATCAAATTTAATTACAACAACTTTATTTTCAGTTTTGCTTTTGGCTGAATGTTTTGGTGTTTTGTGCATCACTAAAGTGCTGTTCACTGCTTGGTGTCATCATTTATGACTGGAGTCTGTGGGTCTGATTCTTGCCCAGGGCCTCATCCATTGCTTCCTGCTAACGGTGAAGTCTTTGTGTGTCTGTGTGTCTTTATCCTGAGCCTGTGGCAAACTCTGCATCTCAAATGAGCCTCGCACACATAACCTGCAAACAGAGCCGTGATGGAGCAGGGTGAAGGGTTATGGCACAGCATGGTCTCCTTTTCCCCGTTCAGACCCTTATAATGACAGCCACAAACATCAGCTCCCTCCTCCTGTGCAGCGCTCCTCAGACAAACACACTTCACACTCAAGAGTTTTTAAAATGTGTTTACTGTTTCAGTAAATAGCCTATTTATTGTTGTAACCTGACTACATAAACTTTGAACAGCACACAAGTAACATTAAGTTTCATACACTGTTAAATGAAAATTGGGTCACACTTTAGTTTGAGGACAAGTTCTCACTATTTACTAACTATTAACTTTTGCCTCAGTAAACTCCAAATTTGCTGCTTATTAATATTTAGTAAGGTAGCTGTTAAGTGTAGGAATGGAGTTTAAGGATTAAGGGATCTAAAATATAGTCATACAGAATAAAGCATTAATATGTGCTTTATAAGTACTAATGAACAGCCAATATGCTTGTAACATGCATGCCAATAAACAAATAGTTAATAGTGGCAACTGGTCCATAAAATAAGGTGTTACTGCAAATTGGTAACACTTTACAGTAAGGTCCCATTATCAATGATAGTTAATGCATTAACTAACATTAACTAACAATGGGCAATGCATTTATTGTTTATTAAATTTTGTTACAACTATTCAATGTTAGTTCATGTTAGTTTGCTTAGGTCCATTAAATAATAATAACAGATGCAACTTTTGATTTGAATAATGTAGGTCTATTAGCAAATGTTGAAATGAACAATTTAGAGCCCTGCATTTCAGGCCTGGCGTTCAAATGCACGCAATAGGCTAAAGCTTGCCGCAAAGCACCGGCAAAAGTAATTACCATGAATGTGTCAGGGGGAAATAGTAAGGAGATATTTGAATTATTTATTAATAAACTAGTGTTGTCTGAGTCTTTGTCACAAGGATGAAGTTGTCGATCCTGACTCGCCATCTCCTCATTAGACACGCCTTTAGAGAGAAATGCATTTTTATGGATTATGATTATAATGAAAGAGTTTTTGTTTTCTATTTGTTTTATTTCTTTAAGTGGTCATTTAAAGCTTTCTGTAGATATATTTATCCTGACTGTGAGGCATCTATTCGCTGAGTTTCGGTTCATTTTTGTGAAGCGCTCCTGTTCAAGACCGAGACGGCAGAAAGCGCATCATGTTTGTTTTCTTTATTTTATAAAAGGACAACGTTTTGTTGATATTGTGAGTGCACACAATAAACTTAAAGTTTAATGAACAGCATTTATTTGCATTTATCAAATATATCAATTAAATGTGTTAATGCATTTATTAAATAGAAATCGTTTTAAATGTCTTCACTCACTTTTTATCACTTTTATGCATGATGAATAATTTTTTTTTTTAATCTTATACAAATCATTGT